TCTGTCAGCAAAGCCCCAGGTGGGGAGGGGCTTATCTCAAAGGGATTCCGGGGTATCGCCTAAGGAGTGAACGGCAGTGTGATTCGTAGAACTCCACGAGCTCGCCTAAGGAGTGAACGGCAGTGTGATTCGTAGAACTCCACGAGCTCTTAAGAGAAGTGTACTGGCAGGGACGTTGGCAGCCTGGAGAAACAGAACAGAGGCATCGGTGTCCTGAGTTTGTGCAGACAGGATCAGGCTGCCTTGGGAGGGAACGATGACCCAGGAGGTAGAACTCAGCGCCAGAGCCCGAGCCCAGGGTCGAGGACAGTTATTCCCAGGCCTCAGAGTCTTAATCAAAGGCCAGACGCTGTGTGCCTGGCTGGGTTCCACAGGCACAGTGCACACGTCCCCATGTCCCACTTTTTGAGCACAAGGGAACACACAGCAGGTGCCTGGCCACCACCGTGCACTGGGCATGCGAGGAAGACAGGGCTCTTCAGTTCCTAAGTTTCAGGTGGGGAGGAATTGGTTCTCTGTGCCCAAGGAGGTACCTGAGTCGCCTCACACACGCCCGGACCTGGCTGAGATGATGAGACTTCCGGCTGATGCTGTCCTGGGGGAGGAAGGTTGGGAGAGAGGAAGAATTTTTAACACAGAAAGAGAGTCAGAGGGCGGACCATGCTGGACCAGCGCCCCTACCTCCAGATACCCCCAGTCATGGTGCTGTCTGGCGTTTGAGGACAGGTTTAAAAAAAGAAAGAGAGAGAGACAAGGTGCCTTCTGATTCGCCCTCTTGGTCACTCACTTTGCGGGAAGCCAGTGCCCTGATGTGAGCCCATTCCAGAATGCCAAGGAGAAAGCTGGGTGCAGAGGGTGGTCAGCCTCCCGCCAGCAGCGGCACTCACTTGCCGGGAACCGGAGAGCGCCCCGCTGGGAGGGAGGCCCCCAGCCTCTTTATGCTCAGGCTGACTGACGTCTGCCAGCAGCCTCATCACCTTGGCCAGGGCCCTCAGCCAAGCTGCTCCGTCTCTCACTGTCAGACTAAAGTAAAGTTTACAGTGTAAGCCACTAACTTGGGGGGCGATGTGTTATGTCTGGATAGGCAACTAACATGAGATGTGCATTCATAAACGCCACTTGGCTTAATGCTCCCAATGGCCCTTGGGGTACGGGGGATCAAGAGTATCACACATGCAACCATCCGCCCCTTCTTTATAATAGGGGCACAGGTCACAACTTCCGTCACTTTCTGGAACAGCAATCGGGGCCGGTGGCTGGTGCTGTTGGGGAGCCCGGCTTGGAGCTCTGGCTCTGCTTCTCCGACTCTGCTAACGCACGCCCGGCAGGCAGCAGGCAGTGGCTCGAGGAGTGATTCCCTGACATCCGCCTGGGAGAGCGCACCGGATTCCCAGCTCCCGGTTCCAACCTGGCCCCGCCCCTGGCTGATGAAGGCATTTGGGGAGTGAGATGGGAACTCTCTGTCTGTCTGCCTTTTTCTGTCTTCTCTGCCCTTCAAATAAATGATCAATAAACTCAAAACAAAATGCATTTACTTATATGGTTTATTTATTTGAAAATGTCATTTTTTTATTTTTATTTTATTTTATTTTATTTATTTATTTATTTTTTGACAGGCAGAGTGGACAGTGAGAGAGAGAGACAGAGAGAAAGGTCTTCCTTTGCCATTGGTTCACCCTCCAATGGCCGCCGCGGCTGGCGCACCGCACTGATCCGATGGCAGGAGCCAGGAGCCAGGTGCTTTTCCTGGTCTCCCATGGGGTGCAGGGCCCAAGCACCTGGGCCATTCTCCACTGCACTCCCTGGCCACAGCAGAGAGCTGGCCTGGAAGAGGGGCAACCGGGACAGAATCCGGTGCCCCGACCGGGACTAGAACCTGGTGTGCCGGCGCCGCTAGGCGGAGGATTAGCCTAGTGAGCCGCGGCGCCGGCCCCGGTTTATTTATTTGAAAGGCAGAGAGACAGACAACAGCGATGTCCTATCTGCTTCTTCATTCCCTTTTTTTTTTTTTTTTTTTTTTTTTGACAGGCAGAGTGGACAGTGAGAGAGAGAGACAGAGAGAGAAAGGTCTTCCTTTTGCCGTTGGTTCACCCTCCAATGGCCGCCGCTGCAGCCGGCGCACCGCGCTGATCCGATGGCAGGAGCCAGGATCCAGGTGCTTTTCCTGGTCTCCCATGGGGTGCAGGGCCCAAGCACCTGGCCATCCTCCACTGCACTCCCTGGCCATAGCAGAGAGCTGGCCTGGAAGAGGGGCAACCAGGACAGAATCCGGCGCCCCGACCGGGACTAGAACCCGGTGTGCCGGCGCCGCAAGGTGGAGGATTAGCCTATTGAGCCACGGCGCCGGCCTCTTCATTCCCTAAATGCCTGCAGCCGCCAGGGCTGAGCCAGGTCAAAGCCAGGAGCCAGGAACTCCATCCAGGTCTCCCATGTGGGTGCAGGGGCCCAAGCACTTGGGCCATCCTCCACTGCCTTCCCGGGCCACAGCAGAGAGCTGGATCGGAAGTAGAGCAACCGGGACTAGAACCGGCGCCCATGTGGGATGCTGGTGCTTCAGGCCAGGGCTTTAACCCGCTGCGCCACAGTGCTGCCCCCCTTGTATTCTTTTTTACACCCAGTCCTCTTGGGTCTCTGCCCTCTGCAATTCTCTGCTCAGAATGGGCTCTCTCGTCGGAGGAGACCTCGCCAGCATCTGGTAGGAGGCAGAGGCCTAGGGACCGGCATCCCAGGAGCCTGGCTGTCTCCTGAGCCAGCTTCTAGTGGCATACCCACGTCTTTCCTGGTCTCTGGCTGTCAATCCAGGTGCCCTGAGCCACCCTGCGATCAGCTGTGAGACCCCTTAGGACCCACCAGCCCTGTCTCAGCTCTGCCATTCACAGGTCAGGGACTTTCCCGAGGTCAAGGCTTTCCGAGCCATCCCGCATCCGACTGCACAGACCAGCTCCGCGGGCAGGGCACAAAGCCACTCTGCTCCGAGCGCTTCCTGCCAGAGCCCGGCCTCAGCAGCGAGGCCAGGTCTCCTTCGCTCTGATCCCAAGTCCATCTGCGGGTGCCGTCTCTTCCCGCCCCCACCCTCCCTCCTCTCACAAAGCCCCAGGGGCACAGCCCAGCATCTCAGCCTGTCCGCACCCCCAGCCCCAAATCTCCTAGCTCACCAACAGGTTGCTTTTGTGTTTGTTTTATTCAACTGCTTTCTTGACAAGAGACACAAATATTTCTCCAGCCCCCGCCTGCAGGGACCTGCGCCCAGGAATTGAAGAAGAATGGCCTGTACGCCGTTACTTTCTTTGCCTCTCTCTTCGAAGCAACAGGGGGAAAATCCAGACTGAAGACAGAGAACAGAGAGGCTGACACGGGATATCAGAGCATCTTGCGAATATACCTAGGGGACGCTACCACCACCGTCTTACAGCTAAGGAAACTGGGAGGGTTAAGAAGCCGGGGCTCCTGCACACAGCTCGGGATTTAGAACCGGAATCCAAGGCTGCAGCTTGGGCAGCAGGAGTGTCTCCCCTCGCTGAGCCGGTTACACACCTGCAGGCTGAGGATTTCCAAGCTGATTCTGCACACATCACCTGTCCTGCGCCGGCAGGTGACGGGCTGCAGGCACAGGGGGCAGTGAGATGGCCCCAGTGTCCCACGGGGGTGGCCCGTGGTCACACTGGAGGCACTCAGCCGGGAAGATGCCCTGCGTGGTGGTGGCTTCTCAGGGAGTTTTACAAACCAATGCTTTCGGCTATGCTGACAGCTACGGCCTGGGAACAGCTGGCCAAGCAGCTGGCACCTCTGGACTATTTTTAGCTGGGGAAGTTAGAGGGTTGGTGGGGGCAGGAAGAATCTGCGAGACTGGGAGCATCGCAAGCAACAAGTTGGAGTGGGGGCAGGTGGCAGAGGTTTCTTCTCCGGAATGTGTGGGCAAACGCTCCTTCATGATGGATGCCCAAGGCCACCTCCTCTGTGCAGTCTTCCTTGATTTCCCCTTAAAACACACTTCAAAGACTGGGATTCATGGTCCACCCGCCAGGGGCTGGCACTGCGGCACAGCCGGTAAAGCCGCTGCCTATTACACCAGCATCCCGTATGGGTGCAGGTTTGAGTCCCGGCTGCTCCTCTTTCGATCCAGCTCTCTGCTAATGCACCTGGGAAAGCAGTGGAAGATGGTCCCCAAGTGCTTGGGCCCCTGCACCCATGTGGGAGACCTGGAAGAAGCTCCTGGCTCCTGATGTCCACCCTCTGGGCGTCCCCTAGCCGGTGAGTATAGTTCCAGACCAAGAGATGCGGAGCCCATCCTGCCACCCCCTCCTCACAACGACAAGGAGGGTAGGAGTCCCCACACAGCTGAGACCCCCTGGGGCCTCTTTTAGCAACGCAACCACGCAGGGGTCATTTAAAATCCCTGTTCCTATGTAAAGTGGGTGACTACCGTGCCCGCCTTCTGGGAGTTAAAGGATCCCTTTGCTCAAGCATAGAGACCGGCTGCCCAGCTGCAGGCCCCGGGATCTCCTCCCCGTGGCACCTCGGGTGGTCACTGGTGCTGGCCAGAGGGGCGGGGACCGCTGGGTGCCTCGTGGAAGTGGCCCAGCTGGACTGGAAGCCTCCCCAGAGTGGGAGGCAGGGGTCTCCCGGCAGAAGGGGAGGAGTCCCAGGGCCTGAAGCTGGGGACGGGGTCGCCAAGCCCAAAGGAAGAGCCCTGGCCTAGGTGGGTGGGTGGGGTGGGGGGCACCCAGGTCTCTGAGACAAACTCACCAGAAACCGGGGCAGAGTAGCCCGAAATGGGGCAGGGGTCTCGAGGACTGCGGGGGAGGAGGGGCGAGGGAGGTGGGCCGCGATGGGCGGGGCTTCTCTCCTCCTGGGGGAGGGGCTTCCGAGGCCGGGAGGCGTGGTCTCCTGGCAAGGGGCGGAGCTCCGCTAAGGCTAAGCTTCTCCGCAAGGGGCGGAGTATCGGGCGGGGCGGGGCTCTCCCCGGAGGCGGGGAAGTAGGCGGGGCGCCGAGACAGGGGGCGGAGCGTGGCGGCTGGCGCTCGTCCCCTCCCCCCAGCCCCGGGTGTCCCTGTGACGAGGCAGCGCGGAGCCGCCGCGGGCCGGGCCCATCCCGCCGCAGCGGGCCCGGGGCCGAGGGGGCCCGGAGCGCGGCCAGGTGAGGCCGCGGGGGCGGAGGGGGCGGGGGCTGCGCCGGGCGGGCCCCGGCGGGCGCGGGGGGCGTGTTTGCGTGGCTGGGGGCGGCGGCGGGAGTGGGTCCGAGGGCTGGCGCCTGTGGCTGTTTGGGGTCCCCGCGGTCCCGGGGGCCAAGTTGGGTTTTTTCCCGTCCGGGGGGCCGCCTGGGGGCCCCTGGGGGGGAACCACGCCCCCGCGAAGGGGTTTTCCGGGGGCCCCCCGGCTCTATTCTGCGTATGCCTGGGGCGTCATTGTGCCCCCCGGGGCCGGGGGAACAGGGCACAGACCGGCGCGGTCCCGCCGGTGTGGGGATGCTTTCCCGACAGGCTGCCTGCGGGAGCCGGGCTCTGCTGCAGCCCCGAGCCGGAGAGGGGAGCGCCACCCCCACAGGCCTCCAGGGACCCGGGCGGCCCGGGGACCGCAGACACCTGCGGGAGGGAGGGGGCGTCCCGAGGCCTGGCTCCAGGGCGAAACCAGGAAGGGGAGACTGAGGCAGATGGATGGTGAGGTGGAGGCCGGGACGGGGGCGGGCGCGGGGGGAAAGCGGCCGGAGGACAGAGGGTCTTTGAGAAACAGACAGACGGACAGGCCCAGACTCAGTGTGGGGCACGGAGATGAAGAGGGACAGGTGGGTTCCGAGAACCCGACAGAGAGGCCAGCTCGGTGGGCCCGGAGCTCAGGAACCGCGTCGGACCTGAGAGATGAGGGTCCCCAACTCTTGGTTAGCTCCTTGGCCAAGCACTTCCCAGACTGGAGACGTGGCCCCACCAAGTGTCCTCGCGGCCCCGTGCCCTGGCTGTGCCACCGCTGCAGACCACCCATCTCCACTCCCTGCTGTCATAACACCCCTCACAACTCCGGGGAGCGGAGGTGACTGTTGCCACAGCAACAGAAGGGGAGAAGGGCCCCTCTGGCCCCAGCCTAGGTGGCTTGCAGCAGACGACGGGCCGTGGGACGCAGGGGTCCCGGGGTGGGATGCTGCAACGCTGTTTTCTCCTCTCCCACTCTGCCCAGAATGGTGCTAGAAGGAAACCCGGAAGTGGGGTCCCCCCGAACCTCTGACCTCCAGCACCCCGGGAACAAGGGCTCTTGCGTCCTCTCTTCCGGTGAAGGTGCACAGCCCGACGAGGAGCCCATCAAGTATGGCGAACTCATCGTCCTGGGGTGAGCCTCCCCGGTCCCCCCTGGGGGGTGGGGCACCAGGCACCCTCCCAACACCCCCTCAGGGGACCCAGCGCTCCCCAAGCCGTCCCCCGTCACCGTCCCCTCTGAAGGCCACGCTGAGCAAACCCACCTCAATGCGTAGCTGTTATTCTCGTAAATGACCGAGACAGCTCTCACTGCCCCCCCAAGTTTCTGATCAGAGGAGGAAAAGTTAGCACCGGTGGCCTACCATAAAGCACCTCGTGTGCGTGGCGTGGCGTGAAGAACTCCGGCTGCGATCCTGCCTCTGCAAACAGGGCTGATGATTACCCCACCTCAGAGGGTGGTCGGAAGGAAGGCGCGGACATAGTGTGCAGAGCCGCTCCCAGCACCAGCGCCCTGTTCTGGGAGGCAGGCTGTGCCAAGCCCTCTCACGGACATTGTTTCGTTTCGATCTTCACAAAGATGCTGTGAGGAAGGAGGTGAGGAAACGGAGGCTGGCCCGAGGGCACGCGGCTGGTAAGTGGCAGGGCGGACCGGACCCAGGGCTTGCTCTAGCTGGTGCACTCGCGCTAACACGTGGGAGAACTCAGACCAGGAGAGAGCAAGCGCCGTGAGTTGGAGCTGGGCATCTCTTCCTGGTCTCCACCTGACGGGGACCGTGCCCCCACCCAGGAAGACCACCCCCCAGCAGACCACCCCCCCGACCCCACCCCTGCCTGGGCGTGGACCCTCCTGCTTCCCCGTCCACAGCCCGTTTTGGCCTCTCTCCCAGCCATGGTTCCTGAAAACACTCTTTGATGAGCTGTTTTTAATGACGGTGATCGTTAAGAAATAATACTGGCTATTGATATTGATAGATCCATATTTGCGCTTTTTAAGACACATCGTAACAGCTAACACTGAGGCCCGCTGTAGACATGCCAAACCCTGTGTTGAGCACTTTTACAATGCGTCACCTCACTGAATTCTCAAAAGGAACCTCGGAGGTAGGGTCTGACAACTTAGCCCCGTTCTCCAGAGATCGCGCGGCAAGTGGAAGAGCCAGGATTTGAGCCATGCCCAGCCGAATGCCCAGCCTGGGTCCCGAACTGCCCCCACCCCCAAGGCCTGGCAACCCCAGCAACACAGGAAGAACTCAGCAGGGCGAAAGGGACGCTCCTCTCAGGGCTGCTTGTATTGGAAAACTGTCTGCTCAGTGTCCTAAACGAAGGGCCAGCTCCCAGCTGAGGACAAGGCCACCCGTGAGGGACACTGGACCACAGGCGCTGGGCCGTCCAGACAGCTGTCTGTCCTGTGCAGAGCAGGACAGCCCCCCCCCCCCCCTGCTGTGCATCAGAGCCACCTGGGGAACACGGAACACACCCGCCCCACACCTGCGAGTCAGTCTCCGTGGCTGTGGCCAGGGAATCCGGATTTTTTTTTTTAAGATCTATTTTTATTTATTTGAAAGGCAGAGTTATAGACAGAGAGGAGAGACAACACACACACACGCGCGCGCGCACACACACACAAGTGAGCTTCCATCTGCTGGTTCACTCCCCAGATGGCCACAAGCTCCAGGGCTGGGCCAGGTCCACAGCAGGAGCCCAGAACTCCAGCCAGGTCTCCGACACGGGTGGCAGGGGCCCAAGGACTTGAGCCGTCATCTACTACTTCCCAGGCGCGTTAGCAGCGAGCCGGATTGGAAGCGGAGCAGCTGGGACTTGCAGGCGGTGGCTTAACCCCCGGTGCCCCACGGCAGCCCCAGAAATCGGGGTTTTGACGCGCCCGGCAGAAGGTTCTGATTGGATGGCTGTCGCCTGTGGTTGGCAGCTGCTGGCCCCGTCACTCCCCACTCTGCATTCTCTCGCGACTCCCCTGCTGCCGGGACAACGTCCTCGGCGTGGGGGCCACCAACTTCACTTCCCCTCCTGCCCCTCACCACCCGACCCACCACCCACGGATCTCACCAAACCCTGCCAGCCTTGGGGCCTTGGCTCCTGTCAGGGCCAGCCTTCAGTCTTCCGTGGGTCTGGAGCCAGGCAGACCTGAGCTCCAATCCGACTTCCTCCGCCTTCTCTCCCGCTCACCTCGCTGGGCCTTGATTTCTCTCATCAGTAAAAGGAGCAGAGAGGCACCTGCAGGGCGCTGCGAAGGTGCCTTCAGATAATCACTAGCACAAAGTGGAGGAACAGAGGCCCAGGTCGCGACGGCCAGCAAGGCTGTGATCCACCCCCCACCCCGCCCAGGACAAGAGCTGGAGAGGAAGGTGGGGGGTGGGATTTCATGCTGGCGAGAGGAGGAAGTGGCAGCATAGCTCACGTTCTCTCTTGCGTTTGGGTTCTAGCAGTGCTGTAAGAAACAGAGCTGGCTATAGATGGGTTCTTTCCAGTTCTTCAGAGCCCGTATAGATCTTCCCAGAAACCTGAGCCTGGGGCCAGCATCTCCTCCTCCCACCTCTGAGCCCACGTGCACTTGGCTTGTACTTGGCTCACGGCACGTGGCACCGTGGTTCTCAGAGAAGCGAGGGCTCCCCAAACCCACCTGTTTGCCAGCACCAGTCCGGGCGTGACTCGGCTGTCCCTGAAACACTTGGTCACTTGAATGGATGCCCCCCACCCCCGTCCCTGGTGCCCTGATCTGGTACTGGAGGGTGTCCCACTCGGGAGGTGCTGCAGACATCTGCCCAGAGTTTGGCAGTTTCCTGCGAGCCCCCCCAGAAGCTGACTTTCTCTTCTTGTCTCTCTCCCCCCACGGCCCTCTCTTCCCCGCCTGCCGCATCCGCAGCTACAACGGGTGTCTGGCCAGCGGGGACAAGGGCCGCCGGCGAAGTCGCCTGGCCCTGAGTCGCCGGCCGCACGCCAACGGGGTGAAGCCAGACGTCATGCACCACATCTCCACACCGCTCGTCTCCAAGGCAAGCGCTGTTGTAGCACACCGGGCGGCCAGCCCTGCCCTCCTGCCCCAGGCCCGGGGCCCTGTGGGAGCAGGGGAGCCCACTGTGTGTGTGAGCACTCACTGCTGTGGGCCAACCAGAGAAGCCGTGATGAGGAATCCTTTTTATTATTATTATTATTATTATTATTATGTATTTGAAAGGCAGAGGGACAGAGAGTGAGAGGGAGAGACAGAGTGAGATCCATCCACTGGTTCACTCCTCAATGGCTGCAACAGCCAAGGCTGGGCCAGGCTGAAGCCAAGAGACCTGCACGCCATCCACGTCTCCGCATGGGTAGCGGGGACCTAAGTACTTGGGCCGTCATCTGCTTTCCCAGGCGCACGAGCAGGACGTTGGGTGGAAAGTGGAGCAGCCGGTCTCTAACGTGCGCTCTGAGACGCCAGCTTGCGAACGTTTCCTTGACCGTCAGACCGCATGCAGTGGATGGAAATGAGCAGCGTCATTTTAGCAGCAGCCGAGGCTGAGAGGGGGGACGTGGGGGTCACACAGCAAAGGCAAAGGGAAACCTTTGGCCGCGGAGGATCTGGGTTAGAATCCCGCCTCTGCTGTCCAGCTGGGTGGCCATTTTCTTCTCTCTGACCTGAAGTTCCCTCAGCTGTAAAGTGGAATGATAGCCCATTCTTGGGGTGGCTGCAGAAGTCAAATAAGGTAACAGGTGTACAGCACCCGCCACACCAACACTCTGGCAGCAGATGGACCTGCGCCCTCCCCGGGGAGTGGCCCCTGGGCCTTGGGCGCCCACTTCTGGCTCAGGGGCCCACACTTGTGGCCACAGGCCCTGGAAAGTGACTTCCTTCTCCCCACCAGGCACTGAGTAACCGAGGCCAGCACAGCATCTCGTACACGCTGTCCCGGAGCCACTCGGTCATAGTGGAGTACACACACGACAGCGACACAGACATGTTCCAGGTATGCTGAGGCCCCTCTGCCAGCCTCGGACCCCTGGGCTGCTGGGCCCTGAGGCTCTGCAGGCGTCTGGGGAAGGCCGGGACCCCAGGCCGTGAGGCTGCGCGAAGGGGCTGGGGTGCACTTGGGGTGCAGTTGACCACCCAGCATGAATCAGTGGCCATATCAAGACTCAAACGCAAGGGTCCCAGGCCGCGGGAGGCCGTTCAGCTTAGGGGTTCAGAGTGCGGGTGTGGGGGTTGTAACGCCCGAGTTCGGATCCCGGCTCTGTCACTTTGGGCGCAAGTCATTGAACTTCACCAGGCCTTGCTTTATTCATCTGTAAAATGGGACCCATTATAGCACCAGCCCCCACCTTGGAAGGTAACTGAATTATTGCATAGCAAACGCGTGGCGTGGTGCCTACTGTACAGTAAGTGCCAAAACTCAGTGCACCGGATCGTTAGAAAGTTCATGGAGAATGCAAATGATGCATTATGCCTTTTAATTCCATTCTGCATGAACTTTTCAATGTGCTGCAAATCAACTGGTTCGTACTGAGTGGCTGCTCCCCAGAGCGGGGAGGGTGGCAAACAAGAAGCCCCCAGCCCTGAGTTTATTGGACTCAGAGCCCCCTACCTGGGAGACCAGGGTGCCCCGGGAACGGGGTGGTGCTGCCGGGAGGCCGGGCTGGGAGGCCGGGAGAGTCACCTTGCCCGTGTCGTCCTGTGCTCGCCGTCCCTCCCCCGCAGATCGGCCGCTCCACGGAGAACATGATCGACTTTGTGGTCACGGACACGTCCCCGGGGGGAGGGGCTGCCGAGGGCCCCTCCGCCCAGAGCACCATCTCCCGCTACGCCTGCCGGATCCTCTGTGCCCGCCGGCCGCCCTACACTGCCCGCATCTACGCCGCTGGCTTCGACGCCTCCAGCAACATCTTTCTTGGAGTGAGTGGGTCCCAGGCAGGGACTAACTCTTTGTCTGAGAGTGAGCCCGGGGCAGGCTGGGGAGGTGTGGCACCCTGGGGGAGGGACCAGCCCAGGTGACCCTAGCCGTGACCCAGGCAGCCCCACATCACAGAGGAGCACAGGGAGTCAGCGAGCGGTCCGGCGGTGCCCGAGTCGAGCGCCCCCGATTGCGATCCTCTCTAGGCAGCCTCTGAACTTGAGGGTAGAGGGGCAGTACCTCTGGCATGCAGCCTGCTGGGGGCCACTCGGGGATGGGATCTGACCCCTCCTGTGGTCCCAGGAGCGGGCGGCCAAATGGCGGACCCCCGACGGCCTGATGGACGGCCTGACCACCAACGGCGTCCTGGTGATGCACCCAGCAGGCGGCTTCTCCGAGGACTCGGCCCCGGGTGTCTGGCGGGAGATCTCAGTGTGCGGGAATGTGTACACGCTGCGGGACAGCCGCTCAGCCCAGCAGCGGGGGAAGCTGGTAGGTGGCCCGCTCCGCCCCCATCTTGCCCAGGCCAGACGGCTCCCAGAGGCTGTGTCTCCGGGGGAGGGGGAGGTCTGAGGCTCAGGGATTTTTTGGCACGTGTGCCCAGGCGCAGCCTGCGCACGGCTGGAGACCCATGAGGTGATCAGAGCCCACGCAGGCGCTCTGGGCAGTACCCAGCAACTTTTGGGTTGCCGGCAGCTTAAAAAAAAAAAAAATCACACCCTCTTCTGAGGGTGACACTGGGCCCACGTGTGAGCAGTTTATAGCCTCGACTGTTGGCAGTTCACAGTGCGGCTGTCACGTTCAGGCGGGATTAGCTTTTCTCACCCTCCCCGGGGAGGGCCTTGCAGTAGCTCTGGCACAGGCAGCCGCGGGAGCTCCACGTTGGAGTGGATCAGAGAGCCAAGGTTAGGAGCGGGGAGTGGGCCCCAGAGAGAGCTGGGGGCTTGCCCCAGGTCGTGGGGCCGTGTCACGGTCTCCCTGGGTCTGGGCGCACGGGCCAGGGAGCCGCGAAGCCTCAGCGCAAAGCAGACCTTCCCGGAGCGTCAGCCCTCCGGAGAGTTCTGGGGGAAGGCTCTTTCCCAAAAGCCCCGTCCGTGACTTCCACCACGTGCCGGGCTCCGTGGTGAGTGTTTCCATCGGCTGATTGTCACGAAACCCACTCAGGACCCCAGGAAGTGGGATCCATCACGAGGCTGAGGAAATTAACAGAGAGGTGCAGCCACCCCCAGGGGCGCAGAGTCGGGCATCGGGGAAGCCGGAAGGCAAACGCAGGTGGCGTGGCTCTGGGATCCTCCGCTAGCCGCAGCCCCGGGTGTGTGGGGGAGGGGACAGCAGCTCTGGGCCCGTATCCAGCTTCCTGCTTAGGGGCGTCTCCTGCCTCTACCATGGGGGGAGCCTCAGACAGGGTTTTGGTCCAGGCCTCTTGATCCGACAGACAAGGAGACCAAAGCCCCCTGTGGCAGTAAGGCCCTTTTGCTGGCTCCGGCAGGTGGAAGACGAGTCCAACGTGCTTCAGGACGGCTCGCTCATCGACCTGTGCGGGGCCACGCTGCTGTGGCGCACGCCGGCGGGGCTGCTGCGGGCACCCACGCTGAAGCAGCTGGAAGCCCAGCGGCAGGAGGCAAACGCGGCCCGGCCCCAGTGCCCCGTGGGCCTCAGCACCCTGGCCTTCCCCAGCCCGGCCCGTGGCCGCACTGCACCTGACAAGCAACAGCCCTGGGTCTACGTCCGCTGCGGCCACGTCCACGGCTACCACGGTTGGGGATGCCGGCGGGAGCGGGGTCCCCAGGAACGGGAGTGTCCTCTCTGCCGTCTCGTGGGGCCGTACGTGCCCCTGTGGCTCGGCCAGGAGGCTGGCCTCTGCCTGGACCCCGGGCCGCCCAGCCACGCCTTTGCGCCCTGCGGCCACGTCTGCTCTGAGAAGACTGCCCGCTACTGGGCCCAGACACCACTGCCCCATGGCACCCACGCTTTCCACGCTGCCTGTCCCTTTTGCGGGGCCTGGCTCACCGGCGAGCATGGCTGCGTCCGCCTCATATTCCAAGGCCCGCTGGACTAGGCTCCCTGGGGCCCCCGCCGCTGTGCCCGCTACCCACCCAGGTTCCCCTAGCCCTTGCAGCCCAGAGGAGCTCTGCATGTGGGACTCTTGCCTGCTGGCCCGTGGCCACACGGATGGACGCGTCGGATGGGCTGTGCCCTCCCCTCTTAACTCTGGGCCCCTGAGGGACTCCCAGGATCTCCACCCCGGTCATACTGATGGGACCTGCAGCACCAGCTCTGTCCAGGGCTGCTGGGGGAAAGCCCAGCCCTATGCCCTGCCCTTCCTGGGCCATCCCGCATCTCACCGCCTACACTGTGCCCCTGGGGGAGTGAAGGAGCCCTGGCCCCTGACCCTCAGCTTAGACTGGCCGCGCTCTGAGCCTGCCAACCTGATTCCAGATAGTCATCCTCTCGCTGCCCCTGGGCCCCTTGACGCCTCGCTGCTCTGTTGCCCTCCCAAGCCCACGTGTCCCGCATGCGTGCAGCGCTCCAGCCCCTGAGCACGGGATGGTGCGGGCAGCTGGTACCCGCATTTGCTGCTGCCTACCTTGGGCTGGACTGCGTGCCAGGTGGGCTCTAGGCACACAGACCGTGAGACCTGGGCTCCCTGCCTGGCGGAGCCCAGTCCAGCAGAGGACAGACCAGAGTAGCCAATGGCAGCACAACTACAGGCGTGCGAGGATCAGAGGATGAGAGGCTGCCGGCAATCCGAGCTGGGTGGGAAAGTGAGCTAGGCTTCCCGGAGGAGGAGGCACGGGGGCTCAGCCCAGACGAAAGGGAGGGTCTGGGCACAGCTGGCAGGTGGGGGCTGTGCTGACCTGGGGAGATGCTGTCTGGAGGCTGCTGGCCTCTTGTGGACAGACAGCTAGGAGTCAACCAAGAGGGGAGACTGGATTTGCGATTCCGGAGCATCGGCTGTGACACAAGGGCTACCATTTCCGAACACCTGCCACGAGCCCTGCCCTGTGCTAATGACAATAATAACTGTTGGCTGAGACTCACCAAGCACCAGGCTCTGCTTCTCCGGGGGGTGTAATTTCACACAGCAGCCCAGGGCGGAAGGTTCGGGTTTGGGTTTACAGGGAGATGGTGGAAGTGGCCAAGGCAGGACGCCAACGCACAGCAGAGCCAGCCCCTTTGCTTCAGCCGGGACAGCACTGAACTGGGTAGGGTTTTGGAGGTGGTTCCCTCAAAAGGCCAGGTTCATGGCCCAAAGAGGGACCTGCACCTGCTAGTGCTGGGAGCTGACCACCACCCACTGCAGGCCACCTGCACCCCAGGCCAGGGTGTTTTGAGGAGTGAAAACGAGGGACCCCTGAGGAGACAGGTCGCATCTGCTGCCCTAGCCATGTATTGAATGGCAGATTTTTTTTTGACAGGCAGAGTTAGTGAGAGACAGAGAGACAGAGAGAAAGGTCTTCCTTCTGTTGGTTTACCCCCAAGTGGCCACTACGGCTGGCGCGCTGCACTGATCCGAAGCCAGGAGCCAGGTGCTTCTCCTGGTCTCCCATGGGGTGCAGGGCCCAAGCACTTGGGCCATCCTCCACTGCATTCCCGGGCCATAGCAGAGAGCTAGTCTGGAAGAGGGGCAACCGGGACAGAATCCGGTGCCCCGACCAGGACTAGAACCCGAGGTGCCGGCGCCACAGGTGGAGGATTAGCCTAGTGAGCCGCGGCGCCAGCCTGAATGGCAGATTCTGTCCAGAGCCGGGGTGAAGTTCTGGTCGGTGGCACCGTTGAGGGGAACGACATGGACTGGCAGGGAAAATGGCCTGGCAGCCAACGAGCTCAGTGTGCAGGGGCAGAGGAGAGGAGTGGAGCGGCTGGGGCCGGGTGGACGTTGTTTCCAGGGAGGCCAAGCCTGGACTGACCCGAGTTCATCCTGGCTGCAGGTCATCACCCCTGATGGGCCGAGGGCGAAGCTGGGGTCTTGCTGGGGTTGCCCCAACTATTCCTGGGGTGTGAGTCAGGCAGACAGGTACTCTGGAGACATGAAAAGACAGAACAAGCTGACCTGAGCGCCACCCTGCTGAGGGACGGATCCAGAAGCATAGGCAGTGCCTGTCCTAGGGGAAGGACCTGCCCACGACCACACAGCTGATTGGGGCTCCAGGGACCAGACCTGGGCGTTGGAGGGGACAGAGGGTACCTGCATCTGGTCAGAGGAGATGTGATTGGTTAGAGCCCTGCTTCCCTGCGGCAGGGTGGGGGCGGGGAGCGTTTCAACTCCTCCCTCCCACCCCATACACAAAGCACCAGAACCCCAGCTCTCCCCGATTCTGTCCTCTGACCCTGCTGGGAACCAGGCATGGGAATGCTCTGATCCCATGTCCAGCAGGGACCCGCAGAGTGTGGGAGGAGAGACCTGCAGAGTGTGGGAGGAGAGACCTGCAGAGGGCTACCCTGGGCCCTGGGAGAGGACGGGGAGGGGTTGGTGCAGGGGTTAGGAGGTCCTGCTCTTGGTCCAGCCTGCCTGTTCCCAGGTGGTGAGCGCAGTAACAGTCCCTACCTCATGAGATGGCTGCACGCGCCTGCAGGGCACCTGTAACAATAGACACACAATGCTGGTTCCTCGCCTGCCTCTTTTTTTTTTTTTTTTTCATTCCCATGGGACGGAGCCAAGGATGGGAACGGTCATGAAGCCATGACTCTGATGAGTAGATGTGTGTGTGTGTGTGTGTGTGGTGCTTGGGCTGGGGGGAAGGTGGGGAGGACCGAGGGTAGAAGGTCTGAATAGGCTAAGCTCCAGTTCAGGGATACCCAAGGACATAGTGTGGCTTTACAGAAGTCAGTAAACCTCTTGGCCTCAGTTTCCCCACCTGTGTTATAGGTAAGATGATGATATCCTATCTCATGGGTTTTGCAAGGATTAAGAGAGCCTCCTGGGACTGAGTGCCTGCTCACGTTAGCTGTGATCCTACACACGGCACCACGCAGCTTGTTTGCGGGGTGCCGAAAGGTGCTGAGCTCATTCGCTTTCCTGGCTGTTCCCTGGTGGCAGCAGACAGCACTGTCTCCTCTGTGTTCATTTCAGTGCCCATTTTAAAGAAAGATTTATTTATTTGAAAGGCAGAGTTACAGAGAGCGTGGGAAAGGCAGAGAGAGAGAGAGAGGGAGAGAGAGAGAGAGAGAGGGAATCCTCCATCTTTTGGCTCACTCCCCAAATGGCTGCAACAGCCAGGGCTGCACTAGGTTGAAGCCAGGAGCTTCATCAGGGTCTCCCCCAAGCACCTGGGCCACCTTCCGCTGCTTTCCCAGGCACATCAGCAGGGAGCTGCATTGGAAGTGGAGCAGCTGGAATGGCGGTGCTGCAGGGAGCAGCTTAACCTGCAGTGCCACAGCACCAGCTCCTTTATACTCACTTGTTTGTTTGTTTGTTTTTGAAAATTTATTTGAAAGGCAGAGAGAGGAGAGAGAATTATCTTCCATCTGCTGGTTCACGTCCCAAATGGCCACAATGGCTGGAGCTGGGCCAATCCGAAGCCAGGAGCCAGGGGCTTCTTTCAGGTCTCCCACATGGGTTCAGGAGCCCTAGCACTTGGGCCATCTTCCACTGCTCTCCCAGGAACATTTAGCAGGAAGTTGGATCAGAAGTGGAGCACCTGAGATTCAAACTGGTGCCCATATGGGATGCCAGCACTGCAGATAGAGACTTAACCTTCTACACCACAGCACTGGTCCTGCCACCACTTTTTTTTCCTTTCTTTTTTTGAGAGGTTCAGTTACAGATAGAAGGAAAGACAGAAAGATCTCCCATCTGCTCGTTCACTCTCAAAATGGCTGCAGCTGCTGGAGCTGGGCCGATCGCCTCCTATAACCTACAACCCGTTTTATTATTTTTTAAAGATTTTATTCATTTATTTGAGAGGTAGAGTTTCAGACAGTGAGAGAGAGAGAGAGAGAGAGGTCTTCCATCTGATGGTTCACTTCCCAATTGGCCGCAACGGCCAGAGCTGTGCTGATCCGAAGTCAGGAGTCAGGAGCTTCTTACGGGTCTCTCATGTGAGTGCAGGGGCCCAAGGATTGGGCCATCTTCCACTGCTTTCCCAGGCCACAGCAGAGAGCTGGATTGGAAGAGGAGCAGCCGGGACTATAACTGGTGCCCAGCCGCGCCGTGGCTCACTAGGCTAATCCTCCGCCTTGCGGCGCCGGCACACCGGGTTCTAGTCCCGCTCGGGGCGCCGGATTCTGTCCCGGTTGCCCCTCTTCCAGGCCAGCTCTCTGCTATGGCCCGGGAGTGCAGTGGAGGATGGCCCAAGTGCTTGGGCACTGCACCTGCATGGGAGACCAGGAGAAGCACCTGGCTCCTGACTTTGGATGGGCGCAGCACGCTGACCGTGGCAGCCATTTGGGGGGTGAACCAATGGAAGGAAGACCTTTCTCTCTGTCTCTCTCTCTCTCACTGTGTAACTCTGCCTGTCAAAAAACAAACAGACAGACAAACAAACAAACAAACAATTACGAGATGGGCATTGTGCTAAGCCCCTGCTTGGAATGCCCACCATCCCATATGGGAGTCCCGGCTACTCTGCTGCCAACGTAGCTTCCTGCCTGCAGATGACAGCCCGGGTCCTTGGGTCCCTGCCACCCATGTGGGAGACCTGGATGGAGTTCCTGGCTCTTGGCTTCAGCGTGGTTCAGCCCTGGCTGTGTGGCTACTCGGGGAGTGAACTAGTAGATGGAAGAGCGCTCTCTCTCTCTCTCTCTCTTTCAATTAAATACATTTAAAAAAAAAAGTAATGAAAATCGAGGCACAGAAAAGCAGAGTGGTCCTGCGCTAAGGATGAGACAGTTCGCTGCGCCCTCCTTATGACAGCTGTCAATCACCCTTACAGCCAGGAGCACTGTCATGCCAGCACACCTTGGCACCTGTGTGAAAGGCACTGGCTGTTGGAGTGGGCAGACGCTTCCCTGGGCCTCGACGCAGTGTGGCAAAGAGGACGTGCAGGATTCAGTCCCGATACACCTCCCTACCCCGCCACACAACTCCAGGGGGCGGCACGGCCATCAGCGCATCCCTTAAGCCTACGGTGTCCCTTGTTGTGGATTCAATTTTTAGATTGGTTTTCTGGCCGATGACACCAAGACTCCGGGTCGTGAATGGACCCTACCAAGGTCACGGCCTCCCGATTCGATAACTCACAGGTCACCTGCACAGGCCGTTCCCCCCCAGGGTGTGGTCTCACAGAGGCTCGGACCCTGGTATGCCCCTCAGGGTCGCAGGAGGCTTGCCCATCCATCAGGCACCTGGCGAGCGCCAGAAACGGCCAGGCTCTCCGTGCCCTCGCCCTTTAGTGCTGCGGAAGGGTTAGCGGCTGCCCCAGGCCCATGGCCAGTCGGCCGCAGGACACTGGCGCTCGGGGGCGTTTCTTCGCGCCCCTCACTGGAGCCCCCTGCACGGAGAGCTTTGTGAGCCTCCAGACTCGGGCGCAACCCCACGGGGCAGCGGGGTCGGAGCCGTGTGGGTGGAGCGGTCCCCGGCTCTCCCTCCCTGGCGGCCACGCCGGCCCTGACAGGCAGTAAGCCGCGTCATCCCGGTCTAGGCCGCGCGGTCAGGCTGGGCAGGAGAACTCCGGCCCCAGCGCGAGACTCGACTTGCGGACAAAAGGCCGAGAACACAGGGGCCAATCCGCGTCCAGTCGCGTAGCGCGGACCCGGCGAGCCTGGGGGGAGGAGCTCGCCTCGTCGCGTCTATTGGCTGAGGCTGACGTCCATCCAATGCCCGCGGCCACACCATTGGCCGGTGGGGGCGGGGTTTGCGGCGCCCCAATGAATGGGGGAGCCGGAAGCAGGAAGTGAGTTTGGGAACGGAGCGGCGCTGCAGGTGAGGCGCGGCGCCGGGGTTTCAGGGTCACGGTGTGCCGTCCCCAGGGGGACCAGGGCGAAGCTGGGCTGAGCGCAAGCTCATTGTCTTTCTGCTGACCCTCCGAGTACCCCTTCCAGATGCATCCGGGCCTCGAGGCCAAAGAGCGCTCCGTGCCGCAAAGAGTTAACCCCCCTTTCGGAACCAGTGGGATGGTGCTGTTGGGGCGGAGGCCCGGGGGTCGTGGGGAGGCTGGAAGCTTGTCCCCAGGCGGGGCAGGGGGCTGTGGAGAATGCCGTGGGTTGGGAGACCGTCGCGTCCCAGCCGAGCCCTGAAACCGCCGGGTTGTCGCTTTGGCTGCACCAAGTTTCACTTTCCCTATGCGTGAACGGGGTTTCTTTCGGCCGTGGACTTCCGTGGCCTCCCTGGCTGTGCACAGAGAGCAGAGAGAACGGGGCGGGTCTCAGAGCAAGGAGGCAGAGTAGATCATTCACTGCACACCCACCCGCTGTCACGCCCTTTTTAGGGAGGATGGAGGGGGAGTGCCTTGAGTTTCAGTAGTCAGGCCGAGTCAGGGGTGGAACCCAGGTCACCAGCTGGCAGCCTGGGGCTCTGTCCCTGTGCTCAGCGATGGGGCCTGGCCTCCGTTGTGGGGTTAGACAAGGCTGTTTGGCCACCTGTAATACTGGGAGGTTGCCGGTCACCTAGCCCTCTGTCTGAATCTCGGTTGGCCCGTGGTGAGTGGGCTCTGTGGTATTCCCTTTCCTGTGGGCCTCCGGGAGGATGCACGGGGTCGCGAGGGCCCGGAGCCGGTGTGCAGTTGGCGTGTGGCTGTGCTGACCGTGATGGCTTCCCCAGGGCCCATGGCGGACACCCAGTACATCCTGCCCAATGACATCGGCGTGTCTAGCCTGGACTGCCGCGAGGCCTTCCGCCTGCTGTCGCCCACGGAGCGCCTCTACGCCCACCACCTGTCGCGGGCTGCCTGGTACGGGGGCCTGGCTGTGCTGCTGCAGACCTCCCCCGAAGCCCCCTACATCTACGCCCTGCTCAGCCGCCTCTTCCGCGCCCAAGACCCTGACCAGCTGCTGCAGCATGCCCTGGCCGAGGGCCTCACCGAGGAGGAGTATCAGGTCGGTTCTCGGACCAACCCTCGCTTCCTGAGTGGCCTCTGGGTGCGAGAGACAGGATACAGGGGTGCAGAGGGAGTCGGCGGGAGGATTCCACCCAAAGCCACAGAGTCAGGAACCGGCCCTCAGCTGCTGTGATTATAACAAAGGAGAGAGCGACAGGTCCAGAGAAGGCAGAGGAAGGAGTGCAGGCCGGGGATCGGGAGGTCTGGTTCTGGCTGGGCTCTGCTCTGCCACGGTGCTTGGCCGTGGGTGGAGTGTTCTACCTGTCCTGTGGCGCTTGCTTGTGTATCTGTCGGCCAAGTGCTACGTGATTCTCAGTGCGTGGTGGCAGCGCAGAAAAGCAGAATGCAAAGTCCACTCGTTCTCAACCCTCCGCAGAGGAACCAGTGGGCTGGTGTGGTCCACGGCCTGTTCGGTCCCCCGCGTGTGCGTCGCACACTTACCCTGCGTGTGCACTGTCGGTTCCTGATCACCCCTTGTACGTAGGTGAGGCCGTGCTGCCCCGTTCTGTGTCCTGCTCTTCTTCCTGAACGTCACGTCTCGGAGAACTTACGTGGGCACATACGAATTCACCTCATTTTTTTTCTTTTAAAAGATTGATTTGATTTGATTTGAAATGCAGAATGACAGAGACA